TTTTTTTTTTCTAATACGAACAATACAGCATCGAAAAGAAAAACTCTGGAAAAAGTGGGGGATGAAAATTGTTGTTCTTGCTGTTGGTTGCTATTTGTTGTTATTATTATTATTATTATTATTATTGTTGCTGTTGCTGTTGTTGTTAACCCCATCTACCACCCCCTTTATCCACCTAACAACCACCAACCATCTTCCTAAAAAAAAACCACCCTCAAATCAGTCCAACGAACGCTTTCTCGTTTTTCTGTAATATTTTTCTTATTGTGTATTTTTTTTTTTTTTATTATTATTATTATTATCCCCATTTTTCTCTCCCTTTTTCTTCTTCTTCTACTTTCTTCTACTTCTATAACTTTTTCTTCTTCTTCTTTTTCTTCTTCTTCTTCTTCTTCCTTCTTCTTCTTTTCCTTCTTCTTCTTCTTCTTCTTCTTAAGGCCCGTTTTTTCACGTCGATGCGCGACTTCGTGATGTGCGTTAATCCCGCGTACGCTCGCGTTTCGAACATTAAATTTATATCAAACCCTCTTCTTCTTCTTCTTCTTCTTCTTCTTCTTCTTTCTTTTTTCTTTTCTCGTTTTTTTTTTATTCTATTTTTCTTTTCCCCATAGTTTTTTGTCTTCTTCTTCTTCTTCTTCTTCTTCTTCTTCTTCTTCTTCTTCTTCTTCTTCTTCTTCCTCTTCTTCTTCTTCTTCCTCTTCTTCTTCTTCTTCATGTACTTCTACTTCTATACTTCAACTTTCTAGTTTTACTGCTTTGCTAAAATGAAAAGGAAAAAAGAAAAAAACAATTCCAATGAACCAAGCTGTAGAACTAAAAAAAAAAAAGAAAAAAAAAGAAAAATAGGAAGAGGGAAGAAACGCGGGCGACCGAGGATGACACATTTTTTTGAAAAAAAAAAAAAATACACACACACGAAAAAACGAAGTCGCGTATTTACATCGCTAATGTTACCCACTGCTAGCGTCGACGCGAGAAAAACGGAGACGGGTAAAAAGAGAGGGAGAGAGAGAAAGAGAGAAAGAAAGAAAAAGAAAAAGAGAGAGAGAGAGAGAGAAAGGAGAAAAAGAACTAAGAGAGAGAGAGAGAGAGAGAGAGAAATAAAGGAAACGAAAAAGCGTGACGAGACAACAGGGGGTGGTGTTGTTACAATTACGAAAAATGGAGAGAGAAAAAAAGAGAAAGAGAGAATGATAGAAAGAAAGAAAGAGAGAGAGAGAGAGAGAGAGAGAGAGCATGACAGAAAGAAAAAGTACTAGGAGTAGGAGAAGAGGGAGACCAAGAGGAAGAGAGAGAGACCGACGAGAACAGTGAAAGAAAAAAAAGGAAGGACAGAGAGAAAGATGAGAGAGAGAGAGAGAGAGAGAGAGAGAGGGAGAGAATGAGAGAAAGAATGAAAGAAAGAATGAAAGAAAGAATGAAAGAAAGAATGAAAGAAAGCAAGATAGATAGCAAGCAAGCAAGAGAGAGAGAGAAAGAGAGAGAGAGAGAGAGAGAAAGAAATATATACATAAATAATTAATTGAAAAAAAAAAAAAGCAAAAAAGAAAAAGCCTCTCCAAACATTTCCCCCTTTTTTAGTCCTGACCTTCGAATCTTTTAATCGCAGGAAATTACTCGCGGCTGGCCTGCGAGATCCAGTTCGTACGGTCGATGGGCTACTACCTGATCCAGATCTACATACCTTCCGGTTTGATCGTCATAATATCGTGGGTGAGCTTTTGGCTAAACCGAAACGCGACCCCCGCTCGGGTGGCCCTCGGAGTAACCACTGTGCTCACTATGACGACCCTAATGTCCTCGACGAACGCGGCACTACCAAAGATCTCCTACGTCAAGTCCATCGACGTCTATCTGGGCACCTGCTTCGTCATGGTCTTTGCCTCGTTGCTCGGTGAGTGCGATCGTGTACTCTTCCATGGTCTCTACGTGCTGCCATAAAAAAAAAATAAAAATAAAAAAACAGAAAATAAAAGAAAGCAAGAGAACAAAAGTGCAAAAAAAGAAAAAAGAAAGAAGCGAACAAATATTTTTATACATAATCTAACTAACCACATCTCAACTATAAATGCACGGTGATTTAACAAAAAAGAAATAAAATAAAATAAAATAAAATAAAATGTTAAGTCCAAATCGCACGCGTCGAACAGCTCGCGATCGCGTTCGTCTCCCGAGCTACGAGACGCGTCCGTCCTTCCTTTTTATCCCCCATTTTCAGATTCGTCCTAAAGGGATGATATCGTGATGACAATTTTAATTTTTCTTCTCCTCCTATTTATACGTTGGCGATTATATATTTAGAAGAACGTTTTTTCATTTGAGAACAAGAAAAATAAAAAATACACATCGGTCGTCGTTTTCGTCTCTCCGGAGATCGAACCGAATCACACGAGCTTGTCCGATTTTTCTCATTATTTATTTATATTTTTTTAAGATAACAAATAAAATTTTGAGTAGCTAATAAAATGACTTGAATTGTATTTTTATTTTTATTTTTATTTTTATTTTTTTTTTTTTTTTTATGAGACTTACGGGCAAATTGCTGAGACCATAAATCCATCAAAATGCATTCCCAATTTGTTCTAAAAACTATCCTCACCAATTCTTATGCTTCTTCATTATCTTCTTCATCATCATCTTCTTCTACTTCTTCTTCTTCTTCTTCTTCTTCTTCTTCTTCTTCTACTTCTACTTCTATTTCTACTTCTACTTCTATTTCTATTTCATCATCTTCTTCTTCTTCTTCTTCCTTTTTTTCAAATTCCTTCATAGTTTCCTCGGGGAAATCTTTTTCTATAAAGAGACCCACCCAGGATCTGCGATTTCATTTGTTATTCGGAACCCCCCCTCCACTAAAAAAAAAAAAAGAAAAAAATTAGAAAAAAGAAACAAACAAAAAAATCTAAGTACTTCACAGAGGCAGGTTTACACGAGAGAGTCTCTCAGAAAAATGGTGACGATAACGGCGTTACCTTCCCTCCCTTTATTTCCACGGCTTCTTTGTCTTCGCAGAATACGCCACGGTGGGTTACATGGCTAAAAGGATTCAAATGCGGAAGAACCGCTTCCAGAAGATAGCGGAAAGCATGAAAGCGGCGAGGGAAAATCCAGGACCACCGGGTGTACCCGGTGATCATGGTGATCACGCGCCTAAGCAAACTGTGAGTAACGTCGACCGAAGTCTCTCTCACCCTTCTTCTTCTTCTTCTTCTTCTTCTACTTCTACTTCTACTTCTACTTCTAATTTTAATACTTCTACTTCTTCTGCTATATTTCTACTATTACTACTTCTATTTATTATTATTATTATTATTATGATTTCTTCGTACGAAAGCAAAGTTTTTGGTATTTGAACGTTCGCACACACGGATGATCCGCACTTATAAGACTCGTTTCCAAAACCTGGAACTATAATCAGTTTTTGTAATTTTTTTTTTTTTTTGATTGCAAACAAATTTAGAACATTAACGTCTTGTCAATTTGTATATTTTCTTTTTATTATTATTATTATTATTATTTAAAATAAATAATACAAATTGGCATAACGTTTTACATGGTGTATCCCTTGTATGGATGGTACAACCAGGTGAAGAGTTGAATTTATATGGAAAGATCGAAATAAAGGAGTAACATTTCCAACCCTTCCCGCCTCAATCCTACCCTTTTGAACAATAAATGTTACTCGTTTCTTTTCGATTGAATTTTCACTTTGAAACCTGGTCGTACCACCCTGTTGGAAACACCATGTAATATATATATATATATATATATATATATATATATATNATATATATATATATATATATATATATATATATATATTCATACAAATTGAATGGTTGCAAGTGTCTGCACGAAAATTGCATGTTACTTTTTTTCGTTGATAAAAAAAAAAAAAAAGAAAAAAAAGAAAGAAAATAAAAAATGATTTAGGTTGATAGAGGAAAAATTACTTTTTTCACAATTTCTTTAGAAAATGTATTTAAAACGTTTAGATTATTTATAGATATAAATTATAATATAACGTGATCAAAAAAAAAAAGATTTTATTTGATTATTTCTTAAATGATAATAATGACGAGAATAAAATCAAATTAACGCGATAAAAAAAAAGTAAAAAATGACAAATAAATTGACGTTGATAGAACAAAATTTCTGATCAATTTTGTTTATTGAAATTTATTGAAATTAAAACATTAACATTATTTATAATTATAAATTTATAATACAACGTGATCAAAGATTTTATTATTTGTTTTTTCCTAAATAATAATAAATGCCGATAATAATAATGATGAGAATAAAATCAAATTAACGTGATAAAAAAAAGAAAAAAGAAAAAAAAAGACAAATAAATGAAGAAGAGGAAAGAGAAATAAAGAGAGAGAGAGAGAGAGAGAAAGAGAGAAAGAAAGAAAGGGATAAAGGATAAGGGATAAAGGAAAATGAAGAGAAAAGAGAAAACAAAAAAAAACAAGAAAAAACAAGAAAATGTCGTTCCTTCGAACGTTAGGAACAGTTTTCCCCGGGTAAAGGTCAAAAGCTAAAAGGTTTTCACGAAATGAATTCCCATTCGTATAGTCGAATACACACAGGTTTGAATGTGTGGTGTGTGAACGTGTTCCCTTACGGGACCATCATCATAGCAAAACCGGACCCTCTACCGGTTATATAGGGACGAACGCGCAATGCACTATAAATTTTCTTTTAATCTCGCGGATTGTAGATTGTAGACAATGGAAAAAAATATTAAAGAGACGGCTGTTCTGTTCCATGGCTACTACTACTGCTGTTGGACCTACCCCCCAGTACTCTTCTCTTCATGAAAACTCGTAAAACGCGTCACCACTATCGGAATGTTTTAATTAAACCATTTTCCCCCTTTCTGTAACCCCCACCCCACACCCCCACAACCAACCGAATTTCATTATTAGAAAGGTTTTCCCTTCTATCTATTTTTTTTTTCTATATTTTTTTTTTTTTTTTTTTACAAATTTACCGAAGAAGATAATCCAAATAAATAGAAAGCTCATTTTAGTCTTAGATTTTGTTCTTTTTGTCAATATACGTTTAATATTGTGTGAGTATAATTATTTTAGTTTCGTGTATACGTGCTCGTGGTAATTATGACAATGGGCTAATTAAATTATATTGATTTATTTTACATTACAATTGTTTTATACTATAAAATAAATCGTAGGATAAATTCTTTTTTTTCTTTGTTATTTTTTTTTTTTCGTTCTTCTCTTTTTAGTCTATCGTTATAATTACCAACTCACGTGTAAACCATCCAAAATCCATATATATTATATGTGTGTGTGTCACAGTGTGTGTGGGATATAATTACTAGAACTAGACAAAGTTAAAAAAAAAAAAAAAAGGGGAATAAAAATGCACGTAGATTAGTTTAATTCACTGTGTGGGATATAATTACTAGAACTAGACAAAGTTAAAAAAAAAAAAAAAAAAAGGGGAATAAAAATGCACGTAGATAAGAAGAAAATTAGGATTTAATTATCAATTAATTATGTAGTAGTTATATTAGAATTATGTATTACCAGTTAAAAAAAAAAAAACCCCCAAAAAAAACCAAAAAAAACAAACCCAAACCTAATGCAATTTACGTAATTGATTTATGTTAATGAATAATTTTGATCACGTTTATTAAACACCATTTTATCAACACGTATTACTCACGTTTGACTGGGATTTAAAATTAAAAGATGCACCATTAACGTAGACAAAATTTAGTGTCCTCGATGTCGCATGCCAATCTGACAAAGTAAGGGGTAATCCTTGACGAAGGACACCCCAAATCGAACTGCCGTGTCTCTTGTAAGTGGTCCCGTGTTGTCCAGGAGGTGCGGTTCAAGGTGCACGACCCAAAGGCACACAGCAAAGGTGGAACACTAGAAAACACCATAAATGGTAGAGCCGACGAGGAAGCTGCACCAGCACCGCAACATCTCATTCATCCTGGAAAAGACATTAGCAAACTTTATGGTACGATTTTCATTTCAATATTATTATTGGTTAACATTTTTTGATTACTATCATTTTTTTGTTTTTTGTTTTTTGTTTTTTTTTTTTATTTCATAAATCAAAATTAACAAGAATATTTGTTTAATATTTCAAGACGATTATATTTCAGATAATTGTTTATGAATGATAGATGGAGATTCAATTTTATTATCAAGTGAGATTATTTTAATTTATTCTCTTTTTGTTAAAATTGTTTATATTTTTAATATATACTTTTTTTGAAAAAAAAACAAAAAGAAAAAGAAATATTATTTAAGTTAAATGGCATATATTCGATTTAATAATATTTCAAGATGATTTTATATATTTCAGATAATTGTTTATGGATAACAGGTTGAAATTCAATCTTATTATCAAGTAGGATTATTTTAATTTATTCTCTTTTTGTTAAAATTGTTTATATTTTTAATTACATCTTGAAAAAAAAAAGAAATATTGTTTAATTTAGGTGGCATATATTCGATTCAATTTTATTAGAATCCTCCCTTAAATAATATCAAATATATCGATACAATTTTCTATATACTTACATATGAGCCGTTCATTGGACACATCGATTAACTCCATAAAACAAAAACTTGAGAAATGCGATGAATTAATGTATATTGTTGTATTACTTATTGTTCAATAACCAAAAAAATGTTGCCATTTAATGGTGTTAATCTTTATTATTCAGAAAAGTTATTATAAATATAAAAAGTAGTTATGACTATACCCTCGAGTGCTTTGACACTTAAATTTAAGATTTTTCAAAAAGTGGAGTTAATCGATGTGTGCACTGAACGACTCATATGTAAAAAAAAAAAATTAAAAAAAAAACCATAATCATTGGACATTAATAATTCCATAGAATCTAATTAAATACGCGAGAATAATTAAACTTTATTTTATTATTATTCAAAAATAATTTATTCCATTAGTTATCCGAATGCATTAAACTCTTTCTATTCAAAACTGAACAAAAACAAAAACAAAATAAATCAAAAAATAAATCCATAAGTTACAGAGAAAGAAAAAAAAATATGTGAACAATTTTTGTAACCAAAAAAAAAAAAAAAAAAAGAAAAAAAAGAAAAGTGTGTATTATGTAGTTTTATTTTTATATTTTGTTTCTTTGACAGGCATAACGCCATCAGACATCGACAAGTATTCCCGCATCGTATTCCCGGTGTGCTTCGTCTGCTTCAACCTGATGTACTGGGTCATTTACCTGCATATAAGTGACGTAGTCGCGGACGACCTGGTGCTGTTGAAGGAGGCGAAGTAGAGCACGGGGACATCGGCTGGTGTTTTTTTATTGCGGTTCGTAGCGACGTATGAACAGATTTTTATGGGGAAAAGAAAGATGAAAGGAACTCGCACGATAATTATAAGAGCATTAATGGACGTAAATGATATTATATTAATTATTATTATTATTATTATTAATTATAATATTAATATTATCCTTACTATTATTATTATTATTTTTATTATTTTTATTATTATTATTATTAGTATTAGTATTATAATTATTAATGAAATAATGTGCTCGAATGTGTGCGAGTTCGTCAACGGCCATTTCCTCAATTGCTGGTACGAATTTCCAGAATCCGTTCTCGTCGCATCGAATCGCCAATAGTATTAAAAATAATATAGAACTCTTCCTTATTATTATTATTATTATTATTATTATTATTATTATTATTATTATTATTATTAGCATCATCATTATTAATATTATTATTATTATTATTATTATTATTATTACGAAATATTTATCAAAACGTGACGCGCGCGACTTGCGTGTACGTGAATTACAGAAAGAACAAAAAAAAAAATATACATATATATATATATAATGAAAAAAAAAAAAAATAAAGAAAATAACGCGCATTAAAACTATAATAATATTCGCGATGAAACATCACACGTTTATTACTACTAAACTAAATACTACTACTACTACTATTACTACTACTACTATTACTACTACTACTACGTATATGCATTTAATAAAAAAGGATAGAAGATAAAATTCGTATAAAAAGAAGAGAAGTAAGAAAAGATAAGAGAGAAAGAAAGAGAAATAAAAAATAATACGAACTATTATTACGAAGTATAATGATGCAAATAAGAGAAAGATCGTTGAACATGGAGGGATGGATAATAATTACCCAAAAGTGATATATATATATATATACACACACGAAGGATAAAAGAAGTATGAACAAATTTTGCAATATAATAAATATTCGACATTTTAACCATTATTACAAAAAAAAAAAAATAGTAAAAACAAATAGGAAGGACGATCTTTTTTCGCGATTAAAAGTAAATGTATGAAAATAAGAAAAAGAAGAAGAAAATAGACGGAAAACGCGTGATAAACTACTACATGCACATATTATAACACACACGCGAGATCATTTAAAACATACCTTATAAAACATTGCCAGTATAGGTAAAATTTCCCTTAGGTTTTCAACGATTAAACAAAAAATAATACAATAATAATAAGAAGAAGAAGAAAAAAAATAAAATAATTCTAATGAAATAATAAAAGGAAAACCTTCGATATACATATATACATATATAAAACAAAGTATATATATATATATATATGTAACACAAACTTGTCAATTTAGCCATCATTATAAAATAGTAAAGTTAATTAACGATAAGAGACAACAAAACGGGGGGGGGGGAAATAAAATGAAAGAAGAAAAGGCAAAAAGAAGAGTTTCAAATATCGTCGGATCGGAGCAACGTACCGTAAACTGATCTTCGGGGAGGTGACGAGGTGGGGGGAGGGAAGGAGATGGGTGGACAAAGGTAAGAAAAACAAAATCAAGAATGAAATTGGACTATCGTAAATCGTAGTACAAGATCAAAGGAAAATATATATGCCATCGATCTCTCGTTGTTGCTGTTGACATTTGAAAAAAGAAGAAAGAAGAACAAAATCGGCTACGACAAAATACATAATATACAGAACATATACATACACACACATACACATACGAACGAACTCACGAATTCACGTACATATATATATATATTCATACACGTGTTCATGCACAATTATTAATATACCTTGCGCGTTAATTGGTAGAATTTATTGTGAGATAAAGATGCGAGGGGATTATATTATAAATATATATATAAATTTTCATTTTCATTTTCATATAGAAAATGAAGTATATGTATATTTGTATACTTATATACAAGTATATAAAAAATTAGGAATAACATTGAAACATAATTGATATGATAAATTCTAATATAAAATTTGCAAAATAATCTAATCTCGTTACAAAAATTAAGTGATGGGTAATCGGTGGGTGATAATCAGTGGATGGTAATCGGTCGAACATATATTACTTATATACAGTATAAAGTATATGTATACTTGTATACTTATATACAAGTATGTAAAAAATTACGAATAACATTGAAATAATTGAAACGTAATTGATATGATAAATTTTAATATAAAATATACAAAACAATGTTATGTATATTTAACTGTCGTTAAAAAAAAAAGAAAATTAAATGGAAAAATGAGTGGATGTTAATTGGTCGAACGATTCGTAGTTCATTAAAAAAAAAGGAAAAAAGAAAAAACAAAAACGAGAAAAGTTAGAAGAACACAAAATTATTTTCTATGGTTTCTCTTAATTACCAGGATTTAAATAAAAAAATAAAAAAAAAAATAAAAAATAGGAAAAATTTCAATCGTTTTTTCGAATGCTGCTAAATTTTTCCCAATCTCACTATTTACACTATCAAAAAAAAAGAAAAAAAAAAAATAGAAAAAAGGGAAAACCAAGAGATAGAAAAAGAGAGACAGACTCTCTCTCTCTCTCTCTCTCTCTCTCTCTCTCTCTCTCTCTCTCTCTCTCTCATTGGGAATGAACACGATTCCTTTCGTCGACGCGTTAGTTGTTTTCTATAATCCAACTCCCTATCCCCAAACCCTACCCCTGACAATACATAGCAGCAGTATTCCGGAAGAATGGTGCTATATCGGTAATACGTTTTCTCCGAGTTAATTAACGATGGATTGTATGCCGTTCCATTTCCTATCCTACTTCTTTCCCCTTTTTTTTTTTTGACTACTAATACTACTACTACTATTACTACTTTCCGTACCTTTCCCTTTGCTTAGTCATTTTCTTTTTCTCCTGTCTGTTTTTTTTTTTTTTTACCTTTCCTTTCCTCTTTTTCGTTCAAGAAAACGCAAGCACTCATAGAAACACATAAACACACACACACACACATATATGTGTGTATATGAAATGATAAAAGAAAAAAAATTTCAAACACACAGAAAGAAAGACAAAAAGAGAGAGCAAGAGAGAGAGAGAGAGAGAGAGAGAGAGAGAGAAAGAGACAAACGTGGAAAGACGTGCGCACGAAAGAGAACAAGAAAGAGAAAGAATGAAAAATAGAAAGAGAGAGAGAGAAAGAGAGAGAGAAAGTCACCAATTTAGTAATCTACGTACACTCACTCACCTATCCACCAACCCTTCTTTATCCCTTCTTTCTCCTCTATTTCTGTCTCTCTCTGTCTGTCTGTCTGTCTGTCTATCTGTCTGTCTCTCTCTCTCTCTCTGTTTTTTTTCTTCTTTTTTTTCCACTATTTTCCACTTTTTCCAACCCTCATACTCTTTCTATATCCACCATCTCACTCTATCCATAAGGGGTAGAGGTAGCTGGCTGTAGCCTGGGTCGTGGAAGCTTGCCATTCAGGATATCGACCAGCTGACACGCCCAACCTTCCCCTCAGTCTTCCCCTTCGTTCCATCATACCATCCCTCTCTTTCTATTCACCCTCTTCTCTCTATCTACATAACGTTTTATCCTTCTTTATCTTTCTTCTCTCTTTCTATTTAACTCTTATTCTCTCTCTTTCTTTCTCTCTCTTTTCTTTGGGACGCCACTACAACCCCCCTTTCTCCTTTCTCCTCCCTGATCACCAAACAGTTCATTTGCCAGACGCTCCTGCCAGTCGTGCATTTAATAAGGCATCCTTTGTTCTTGCGTACCTTATGAGAAAGAGAAAGGGATAGAGAAGGGATTAAAAAAAAAAACGAATGAGAGAGAGAGAGAGAGAGAGAAAGAGAAAGGTAATGGTAAGAGAAAAAGACAATAGGTAGAACAAATAATAATTACAAAAAAGAACATGTTCTTTTTCCCCTAACCCTCTTCCATCCCTTTTTTATCCCTTTTTATGTGTTTCTTATTTGATAACAAGTATCCGAAAAAGAAAAAAAACCAATGATTTAAGTGGTCATTATTATTTAACGTTTATTTTTAATATTATTAAATATTTAATATTATTTAATTTTAATTATATTATTTAGATATAATTATAAATATTATTTATAGCGTAATATTATTTAATAATACATATATATATATATTATTTAGGCGTATTATATTTTTGTATATATTGAAATATATATTATATATAAATTATTATATTTTTATTTTATAATTATTATATATATTTATTTATTTATTTATTTTATTATTATATTATTATTATTATTTTATATTATTATATATAATTTTAATAATCATATTAATAAAATAACAATCAGAAGTAATAATAATAATTATCAGTTCATTCAATCGACAATGAATAATTCGTTTTAATTGTTGAATTAAAGCAGCACTCCTGAAATTCTATACGAATAAAGGGCGAAGAATAAAAAAAAAAATAAAAATCAAACAAGAGAACAAAATATAAAACAAAACAAAAAATTATCCCACATAATTGGTTGGTGAATTAAAAACGATAGAAAATAATTCCTATTGTTTATCAATGAACAATGAATATATATATATATATATATATTCGTATTGTTTTGAAAATTACGTAAAAAGATTTAAACGAATCTACGACCCCTATCTCGTCACGAATACAATTGAATACGATTATTATCATTAACTGAAAAGAAACAAAAATAAAACAAAAAAATTATTATCATTATTATCATTATTATTATTATTATTATTATTATTTAAAAAAAAATAAAACCCTCGCATCTATCATATCTCTCACGAGAAAATAATTTAAACCAAAAAAAAAAAAAAAATTAAAAATAAAGTGTATATTTATACGAATTTGTTCCTCGTAACGAAAAAAAAAAAATGGGGAACGATCACGGAGTCAATAGAAAAGCAGACCGAACGAAGTTGGGGTTGAAATAAAGTTGAGCTGAGGGTGGTGGCTTTTACCTTTTCACAACGTGTTAGAAAACGATTTATAATGAAGAAATAGTTTGATGGTAAGGGGTAGGAGGGGTGATATTTATTTGGTAACGATAGCCTAGGTAATTAAAACGAGTCGGCCGAAATTATCGTCCTAAATGA